AATTAATATATTCTAAAAAAAATAATGTAATTAGTATTTAAAATTTAAAAAAAAAAATACTGAAAAATTACCGCCGAGCCCGCCTAACCGCCTGGCCACCGAGTCCGCCAAGCCCGCCTAGGCATCATGCCAATTTTTTCTGTCGATTTGTGTAAATCGGAGGCGCCCAGACATCGCCTAGCGCCTAGGCGGCCGCCTTGGCCAATTTTTAGAACAATGATCATGCCACGTGTCCTAGCCCATGTGTAGGCTTATTATCCAATATATTATTTTTTATACATTAAAGTCGGTCTAGTATAATATCATATATCACAACCAAACTAAACAATACCACAAGAGAGATTCAAACTTTTTTTTAAAAAAAAAAAGAAAAAGAAACATCCTACGTGATGGAGGATTAAGGCGGGATCCCCTACCTGTATATAGTCAAAATACCCTTAAGAGTAGAAACACACTCAATAGAGAAGAATCACACTACTAGAGAATCAAGCTTCCAAAGAGTAGAAACACACTCTAACAAAAAAACATGTCATAAATTAGTTTCATGATTAATTTAAAGAAAATTATAAAATGGGAAATGGTAAGTTTAAACAAATTGAATTAAATTACTATAGATATTGGACTTATATATATAGGATTGAGTTGACATGAGAGTGTTGCTTAATGAAAGAAATAAGAATAAATCGTAGTCATTAGATCAGATGATCTAACGGCTAAAAAAAACTCAAAATTATACATTCATTAAGATCAATGTGGTAATTGGCAAGACAAAAAAACTGTGGGACCCACACACATACCAACTAGGACTTGACACCTCATCCCTCTCTCTTTCCATTACTTCTCTCTCTCATTAATTCTATGTCTCTCACACACATCTCACACACACTGACACCACACACACCCCCCTGTCACACACACGCACACATCAGCACTCACACACACGCAACACACGCACACACATACACACATGTACATACAGTAATGCATGTACGTCCAGCCGCCCTCCGCCACTATTACCAGTCAATGCTCGTCGCCGCCGTGTTCTGCCGAGTCCGTCGCCGACGTTATCTGCAGAGTCAGGCGCCGCCATGTTCTGCCGAGCCCCCCGCTGGCGACGTCCCTGCTCTCCAGCACAACAGCAGTCGTCGAATATCGTCGTGGACCTCCACCAAGATCTGCCATCTTCACTCGTCGTGGACCGCCACCAAGATCCATTGTCTTCACTACCGTGGACCGCCGTAGACCTCCACCAAGATCCGTCATGTTCACTCGCTGTGGACCTCCTCCAAGATACGTCCTCTTCACTCGCCGTGGACCGTCGTCGACTGCCGAACGGCCTGGAAACACTAGATGAATGGCCGTCAGAGCACGCGGTGGTGGGGTCATTGTCGACAATGATGACGAGAGGCCAAGGGGACAGGGGTGGCGGGCTGCCACATTTAATTAGATATTGCATGTTTTTCGGTTGTGTTTTTTAGAATTAGATAAAATGGAGGGACTTATTTGTAATTTCAGATATTTCATTTTTTTCCAATTTAACCCATGGGCCAAATATGAAATTTATGAAAGTTATATAAAAAAACTATTATCTTTTTTTTTTATATACATTTATTTATAAAATGCTAAATAAACATACTAACATATATAATATATTTATTTGCAACCAAAAAATAATTAAAAACATTAATCAAATATATTACAAGGTTCAATATATTTTTATAATATAAACAATAAATTATTTCAATAATAATTTCAAATTTAAATTTTAGGGTTTTATTGACCTTTTTTTAAATGTGATATTGTTATAAGGGACAATTTTGTTAGCGTGATCATACAAAATAGCGCACTTTATATATCAGCATGTTGAACCTTATAATCAACACGTTTCACTTTATAAAACAACACGTTACACTTTATCATCACAATCCACAATTAACGTCTGCAGGTCCCACCAAAATACCACACAACAAAAAATTTGAACTTTAACATCACTCACATCATTTATACACCCAAAACACGGATATGCTAACGTACCATAATTACAGTAGTTCCTTATATATATTAACACATTGCACTTTATAAAACAATACGTTACACTTTTCAGCTCAACGTTATGCACTTTATCACGACTATCAGATTGCGCAATAGAGATCAAAACCGACCGAACACAAAAATTTTTAACCAAAAATAACATAAGAATAATAAGTAAAATTATTAACATATTAAATATAATTTTAATATGAATAACAAATTTTTTAAAGTATTTAGGATATTATGGTTAACCGAACAGAATAAACCAATTAATTATGTTCATTTTCAGTTTGACATGGGACACGAGTTTAGTTGGTTCAATCGCACAACACCTACAGACTCTGTGCACTGTAATGTTGTACGGATTGCCCCTTAATTACTGTTAGATTGCACAGTATGTTTAATTTACTTAAGTATTAATTTTATAATTAAAAAAATATACAATATTGGATAAATAAATATTAAATACTAATCATAAATTTTAAAAATCAATAATATCAATCAATAAAACCGAAAACTTATCAAATATGTGATTCAGTAAAAATATAACGGTTTTATGATGTCCACGTAATAATGTGCATTTTATACATAATTATTGTGCGTTTAGTTAACTTTCATTAAATTATAAATTTGACTCACATACTAAAATGCAATATATTAAAACTTGGGAAATTGCAAATAAGTCCTCATATTCTCCCTATGAGAGCGATAGATTCTCTCCCATGAGAGCGAACACCATTTTTCGATCTTCTAGTTTCTGTCTCATAACCTCTGAATCGGTTTAATCTTTGGATTAATTGTTTCTTCATTTGGTTCTCTCTCATTTCTTCCTCTTTCTGGTTCTATTTTGGTAGTTAGGGTTTTATTTATGGCCGAGGATACGACTAGCAATCGGGATGAGGATCTTTCAGATAGATTAAAATCTTTCTTTCTGTCAGATTGGGAGGCAAAAGTAGTTGATATTGCACCGGACGATATTCAGCTCAGTGATGATGAATGTCAAAGAAGCCTATTCGGGAAAATCATCGGCGACCGCCCTGCGAGTTGGATTGGAATCAAATGTGCTATGTCCCAAATATGGAAACTCAATCAACCTATGGAAGTGAAGGAACTCAGCCAGAATTACTTCCAATTCATTTTCCAAAATATCGAAGACAAGAAGAAGGTGGCAGCAGGCACAAACTGGAGCTTTGAAAACCAATATTTAATTCTTCGAGAATAGACTAGGGGAATTTCTAGAAAACACCCGAGCTTCTAAGAACTTAATTTATGGGTGCAAATTCATAATCTTCCCCTTAATTGGGTCAGTTCTGAGGTAGGTTTCAAAATTGGGAAAGCTTTCAAAAATCTGAAGAATGTTGTTCTAGCAACTATTGGCAACCATGGAGGGAAACTTCTGAGATCGTTGGTTATGCTGAATACAGAGGAGCCCATTCCCAGAATCCTTAATATCCGTTTGGGTGACCAAGTAGTCAATGTTATGTTCAAGTACGAAAAACTGTTGAATCTTTGTCTCTACTGTGGCAAGATTGGTCATCTGGATCGTTCTTGTGCTAGGAAAATAGAGGATGTGGCTAATAATTCTATGAAAGAAGGACAGTATGGCGATTGGTTGAAGGCCTTGAGGGCCAAATGTGGTCTCCTGGGAACCTTTCCGACCCTAGATCTTCTCCCCCAAGGGAATCTCCCTCAATGGCTGAGAACACTACAGGTCAAGATTTCTCATCCAGCCTTCCTTCCAATAGCAACAGATTAATTCAGAGTCAAGAAGATACTCTATCCCCGGCTAAGTCAGCAGCTACACCATCTCTGGTCTCAGCTATTCAAAGGAAAAATACTGAGGAAGACATTGTGGAAAACAATCTTCAGTTAGTGGAATCATATGGTATGGAGATCGAAAAGGAGGCCCCTAACCACAGTCATTCAACCCTGCAAGAACCTCGGGAATGCCTAAAACTCCAGCTCTAAAAACATGGAAAAGGGTTGGCAGTAGTAAAGGTAGATTGCAGAGAGCTCCTGAACCTCCTCTAATCATTGACCAACTCTTGGTGGGTAAGAGGGCTAGAGAAGATGTCATCTCTGAAGAAGCAATAAATGAAGCTGCTAATCATAGTCAGGTTCTTACTAAAAAACTCAAAGCTAAGTCTGAAACGGTGGGGGTTGCCACCCCGGAGTGGCACCACAATGATCAATGTTAGATATGGTGTGGAATTGTAGAGGGCTGGATGGGCCCTCTACAATTTCCCAAATCAGAGAGCTATTGAGAGCTCATCACCAAAATTTTCTTTTCTTGTCTGAAACTAAAAAAAAAAACATAATGCTTTTGTCAAGTCTGCTTGTAATAAGTTGGGTTTTGATAATAGATTGTGTATATTTGACCCTGTTGGGCTCAGTGGTGGTTTGGTTTTGTGTTGGGACTCAAATGTTAATGTTATTAATATACAGTTCAAAGATTACTACATAACTGTTCATTTTCAAATTAACTCTGATGTTTCCCAATGGGGAGTTTTTGTCTATTTTAGCCCTTGTAAACTGATTAGAGAGAGTCAATGGGAGGACATGATTGTAGACAAGCAGACATGGGGTCAAAATTGGTTCTCTCTTGGAGACTAAAATGATTTGCTTGCAGTCTCTGAAAAGTCAGGAGGCATAACTAGAAAAACTCACAGTTGCCATGGATTTCAAAACTTTATCAATTCTATTGAAGTGTCAGAAATCAAATTTGAAGGCTATCCATTCACTTGGTGCAACAATAGACCTGCTCTTGACTTGGTG